GGCTGCCGCTGTCACCTGGCTTCCCGGAACCGCCCTGCGCCGTTAAACCATTTGGGAAAACGTTTGTGACCCCTTTAGGAATTGCTTCCGATTACCCCACCGGGCTGTCGGAGCCCCGTGGCGGTTCGCCGGGGGATTAAAGTTGAGGTTATGAGAAATAACGACCGAGTAGTGCCATCGCATTCAACTAACGGTACCGGGAACCTGTGCTCCGGTAACGTGTGTGGTGATGCTTACTTGTAACGTTGCTAGTGCATGTTAGACCTGTTAAATAAAACAAACGAGTTCCATAAACTTTTAACAGGCTTTAAGTATCGTTTATAGTATCGTGCATGTTTGCTACCGGATTTTTTTTTTTTCCTAACCATTAACTTTCACTAGGAAACGCATAATATGTCTCATACTAACAGTCGGGTTTCAGATTTACTTTGAAAAGCACACAGGATACAGGGTTCTGTTCCTAGTTGGGTACAGAGGGCTTAAATCCCATGACTCTGCTTTAGCAACGCTAACATTTGTAATCTCTCCCGGTAAAAAAAAAAGTTTTCGGTTAAGCCTTATCTATGCAGAGTGTGTGAACTAAAATTATCTTGGAGGAAATGCGTGCGCTTGCCGTGGGTGATCTTAACTCGTTTAGGATACTAGAAATGTTTGGGGGGCAGGTTTTCTTCGTTCTTTTAAGTATTGGTGCACAAGCTGTCAAAAGGTTACTGTGGTGATTGGAGGTGTGCGATTTACCTGTTCGTAGCGACAGGATAAATGCTAAGATACTCAGAGGCATGTAACGGCAAATAACAAAGTCTCAGTGTTAAGTCGTCAGTGATGTACATACATCATCCATGCTTCAGAACAGATCTTGGCTTTTCTCTGCAACAGGAAGCAGTACAGACGATAGTCTGGTGAGAGAGGCATTCCAGTTTGAAGTACTGCAAACACAGCATGAAGAAATTAAACAGAAGGTTAGCAATTATTTTCCCCTCTAAATATCACATTTTTTTTGATAGGGCTAACTGAAACATTGGGATAAGTTCGGTTCCGAGTATTTAATTCTAATTGAGCTGATCAGTCATCTTTGAAATCCATGGATCTATTAAAAGTGTCATACTGGAAACAGCTCTAGTAATGTTAGGAGTGAGACCAGTATTTTATTTCTTGGTCATTTCAGATCAGCAAATGCTAATTTGTCAGTTCTACTTGTTTCTGATCAAATCCGTTCTCTTCAGTCCTGTCAGCAAGAGTGGGTTTGTGCAGCTTAAAGATTTGAGAAAGTAAAGTGACTTTAAAGTTGTGTTGTGCTACTTTACCTTCTGATGATCCCTTATGAAAAGATAATATGGGAAGAAATAGATGTGGCAAAGTAAGAAGGTACAAACGCCCGCACCAAGTCCATCCTTTTTCAGCAGACAGCTTAGGGAAGGGTGCAAGACCTGAGCAAGTTTATGATCATATTTTACCAGAATCATCCTTTAGCTTCTCGTAAAATTTCATGTGGGTACTTCCCCATCCACAAATATCATGCATGTATTTAATATTTTATAGAGTATTTTTTTATACGCTTGTGTATTTGGTTTTGGATACTTTTTAGTGTGAAAGAGGTCCACAGCTTCAGAACATGTTATGTCAGGAAATTTCGTCTTTGTTTTTATTTTGAACTTTGCACCTAGTGATTTTTAGTGAATGGGTCTTGGCTGTTACAAGAGGCAGTAAACAAGGAGTAACTTGTGCACAGCACTTGTACCTCAGCAGACCTTTCCTTCCTCACAGCTGTGCTTTCTCCCACATGGGAGGGTCCTACTCTATTTACCTTTCTCTCCTCACCCTTCTGTTGTTCTCTATCATATCCTTCTTTCTTGGGGAAGCTCCTACCTAGACACCATACTCAGCCTGGGGGTAAACCATCATTTTACATAGTGGTATAGACATGTCTTTCTGCTTTTTTCTCCATGCTTTTTCAAGTCACTCGTTTATTCTCTCTCCAAAGTCTTGTCTCTGAGTGGTGATGGCTGTTCAGAAAGCATTAGAGGCTATACATGTCGTGAAGATATTGTCCGGGGGTGGTAGCTTGTCACAGGACAGCGTGCTGGTTGGCTGCCATGCTAGATGAAATACGAAAATTAAATTACCATTGTTGTCATCCAAACAACAAGTAAATTATTGATATGTGTGACTAGAATACTTTCCAAAAAAAGAACATAATCACAGAGAAGGGAAAAGAGAAGAATGGTCTCTGACTGATACCAGGGCAGTGTATGAAGACATGCCTTTGCTGTCATTTTATAATTCTGTTAGAGGAAGCAGTAGCTGAGCCTGATTTAATCAGAAAAAGATTAGAAGCAACACTGCAGAATTGCTGAACTGGGTTACAGGAGCCTTTTTCTCCCTAGAAAGTAAAAGTATACCTAATTTTCAACCACATAATGCTATAAATACATACTTTTGATTATATAAGTCCTTTAATGGAATTCATCTGTTTGCAGCTGAAAGAAATGCAGGATGAAATTCTTGCTAAAAATGGAGAAATTAAAATTTTGCGTGACTCAATGCAGCAGATGGAGTATGCTATGGAGGAACAGAAAAGATCATACATGCTACTGGAACAGCAAAAATCTCAGACCTTAAGTGAAAAAGAAAAAGAGTTCTCCAAAAAGGTTTGTAAACGTGGCAATTACCTGTCCATCACATGCAGAAGCCAATTTTATGACTTAATGATGTCACAGACCATCTAGTCAAAGTACATTTGTGTGAAATTGCCAAACAATGTATGCTTTTATTTTCTTATCTAGGAAGAACTTGCTGAGGGTTTTCTTCTGCCAAAATAAAAGAATAAAATTCAAGTGGTAGAGGTTTTCATTTACTTGTGGCTTTTTTTTTTAGGCAATCCCAAGAACATTGAAATTGGAATGTATTTTAAAATGGAAAAAAGCGACAGAATATACTTTATGACTCTGATCAGATCGCTATTCCTGTTGCAGTCATCTGTCCGAAAGCCCTGAAGAGGACAGTGGCTGCTTTTGTCCTATTAACAGCCTCGCTGTAGTCACTTGGTCTGTCTTAACAAGTCATATGCTTCTGCCAGAAAGCTTGACATGTGGTTCTTAGCTAGTATTAATTGGACTAGCATACATAAAAATGGAGATCTTATGCAGAGTTCACAGAAAGTAGATGGTAATCTTGAAATCTTACAGTAATACTAGTTGCTCCACAGTTAAAACACCTCTAAATTATTCAGTAGCAGTAAAACTGTCTTTTCAATTCCTCTTTCAGTTACTGTCATTACAGTCAGAGTTGCAGTTCAAAGATGCAGAAATGAATGAATTAAGAACGCGACTTCAGAATGGTGAAAGAAATAAACATGTTACTCAGACGGTTTTATTGCCAAGGTGGGAGTTTGGGGAAACGAATTTGTGTTCCTTTTTACAATATGTGTACTTAAACTATTAAAGAGGTTTTCTTTCTTCGTGTAACTCTTAGCAGTGTCATCTTTAAAAAATACAACCAGAAAAGTCTATGACCTCTATGGAATTTGCTCAAAAAGACCCTTCCTTGTATCTGTGACAGAAATGCAAGGAGTTTATAGTGAAGTACCTTTAATACGTCGATGTAAATAGATCCTTGTTTATTGTTTAATAAAATAATTACAAAAGAAATATGGATTCATCGAAGTGTTTGACTTTTATTTTAGCCCTAAAAAGAATTTTGCAATACAAGTGAAATCAGAAGGATGTTCTCCACAGCCTGGAAAAAGATATTTTCCTACAAAGGAATCCTTCAATGCTGAAATGTCCACTAGACCATCATGTTCTTCAGGAAATCTGATTGCCCCGACTACTTTGATCAAAGAAGGTAAACCCATATACAACCTGCAACATTTTTAGCTGCATACAAACATTCTGCCTTAGATAAGGATTTTTGTACTATGTGACTGAACAGTTTCAGTAAGTCCACTGTAGGAAAAAGTATTTGTTTTATTTTGTTATTGCTTGAATTTCTTTCTGGTTTACGCCAATGGGCATTAAATAACTGTGACTGAAATTTGCATCAAGACTATTTTAATTCACACCTTGGTAATGCCTGTATACCAAATGCCAGGATGTCAGTGATGAAGTGGCTATGGGCCGTAATGAGAAACTTCTATTTATTATCTGATGAATTAAAATATCTAGTTTGTTATCTGCCTTTCTCACTGAATAAGGAAGAACAGGAAATGATTTGCCTATTTCTCGAATCAGTCTGCTAGTCAGCTAGTGCATTTTTTGTATTTTTGTGATTTTTTGCTTTAAAGCTGACCTTTTTGGGGATTTTATTTTAAAGGGTACGTATTTAGCTGTATTGAAAGAAGCAGCTGAAATGGTATGCTCATTTCCTCTTTTATGTGTAAGGGGACAGTAATTCTCACAAAGCTGTATCTTGAAATTCATTGAGTAAAGCTTAGGAAATGAATATATACATGTATTTAAAAATTGCTGTATTATGTAACAGAAATGGTGCTTTTTATAGCAGCTGACTGGCATGTTTCCAATAGGAAATAGTAAATGGAAGAAATTTGGATAATGCCAATAACTAATCCTTACAGAAAGAGTCATGAAAAATCTAAGATGTTACTGTCAGTTAAAGTATTCAATCTGAAACTGTATGGGCAGTATGAACTCCATCAAAAAGAAAAATACAGTTGCCTTAGAGCATTAGTATTGCTATTTTTTCAGCCTCCTATCTGTTTGTTATGATAACAACACTCAATATGCGTATTTGTTTGGAAAAAAAACCACTTGATTATTTGTCTTCTGAACCCTGCAAGGCTTTTGGCTTCAGTTTGGCTAGGAATTGTGGCATAAATAGGTGACTGAAAGATTATGAAATGCTTAAATTTTAATTTATTTGGCTTTCCTAGCAGTGGGAATTCAGCTTAAGGTACTGTTTTTTTCCTAAAAGAAAAGTTGAGAGCAATAGCACTGAACAATCTGTGGAACATCTGACAGTAAAGGCAGAATTTTATTTGCTTTTTTATTTGCATTTTGGGGGGCAATTCTACTTGCATCACAGCTCTTAACTATTGTTTGACATATCTGAATTATACAAGATGTTTTTTACTGGTCTCCTGTCTGTTTACTTCTATGTAACAGCTACGGCTAACTGAACATCTGTAAAGGATAGGTACAGATATATAAGCAATGTAGTTCTCATATTAGACTCATAATTACTGGGTTTTTTTAGACAGTAAGATAACCCATCCTGCAGTTTTATCCGTGAAGCGTGAAGCAATGGGAAAAAATGGTTCCTACAACTGTGTACTGAAACGAAACACACAAGGTAACTTAATTCTGCTAAGACAGAAATAGCGAGCATTTCTGAGGAGCAGGTCAGACACCTTTGCTAAGCGGCATCATGCTGAGGAGCTTGCTATATACAGTGCTGCTGCACAGAATAGTGGTGTTCAGCTAGTCGCTTTTTGCTTTTAATATTGTGATTTTGCAGTAGAACATTTCAGATTATATCTTGTATCCTAACAACATTCTTACGTTGTTATTCTATTTAAGAAAAAAGTTTGCCTGAGTTTTGCTTTATGAAAGTATATGGATCAAGAGGCATCTTAATACTGAAAGACCCAGCCTTGTAGTAATATATTATGCTTTTTATTGTAGAACTATAAAAAAACAGGGAAAAATTTGCATTTTTGTTTTTAAACAAAGGTAAAAACAATAAAGTAATATTTACAAGAGTCAATACCAGAACAGAATTGCATCATCTAATTTTTATGTCTCTACTGGAACACGGGGGGCAAGTCATCAGGATAGTTGGGATATACGATCACTTGGCTTGAGCTATTTTGCTAATAAGGGATTGCAATTCAAATATCTCTAAATATAATTTTGTTAATATTTAAATAATCTCATTCATTTTTCTGAAAACATTCTCTTGCAGAGAAAGATTTATAATGAAAAGAAAATATTTTGAGGTTGAGAGCACTATAAATAAGGCTAATCTTTTAAAATACTAATTTTTTGTTGATGTTGCAGTTGATGGTAAAGCTACTCCAAAGACAATTATGTATCCTTTCAGGTTCTATCTTACTAAATGCACTGATGAAGCAGCCCATTGTCCCTGGGTCGTTACTAGGACTCTGCCATCTTCTTAGCAGTAACGCTGAGCCTCTACCTGGAGCTGTATTGCAGCCTAACTATTTGGAATTGTAAGTTTAGGGGTTTTTTTGTTAAACTGCATCTGACACATTCTTAGTATAGTGGCATTCTCTATACTAAGAAATGCTTATTCTTGTAGGGTAGCTCATTCCTTGTGTTAAATGCTGTTTTGCTTAAGCCATTTAATGCAATTGCTCTGCATCTTTGATTATTAATCTTTGATTATCGTAGATACCAAACAGTGGAACAACACTAAGAGATAAATTACATTCATTATATATTAGAGGAAGGCACAGAAACATGTTTTGCAAAACTTGGGAATGACTGTTAGCAGCTGCTATTGTTAACCGCTTAAGGACATGAAACTTACATTGCAATGAGGGAAGCAATAAACATCATCATGAGTTAAGTGGGAAGAAAATGTTGAAAATGTAATCAAAAGAACAGTAGGCTTTATATCTTCAAAGTCAAAACTATGTTCAATTTATAATGTACAATTTATGTGCAATTTTCCAAGATACATTTATAGTGACCAGTAAAGCATTTTAAATATGAATATTGGATATAAATTATAATCATTTAAAGAATTAGACCATAGTTCCTGAAATACCTTCACTTTTCTGGTATTTTATTAGTAATTCTTGTATTTTGTGGGTTCATAGCAAGGCTCATGTATCATTGCCCTTGCCGTTTGTGTAAGTAGAGGTGGTACGTTTGGCCTTTGTAGCTGCAGTTTGGCTAGTTAATAGCTGAACTCTCTCTCTTCTCTGGCCAAGAATACAATTTTTTTATTGCTGTAGTCCTTTTAAAGGCCCCTACATGTTACAGATCAGTAACATACAGATACTCATTCTTCCCAGAAGCTACCAAATAACATCAGGGGAAGATAAGAATACATGGCAGGTTATCAAAAACATGAAACGGGGAAGCCAATGTTTGAAATGTAGTTTCAGACAGTGGCTTATAGTGAACTGCTGAAATCACTCAGCTGTAAGCTCTGACTACTTTCACAAGACCTAGGAACGCTTTGAAATGGCTCTTCCATGCAGGTATCAAGGAGCAGGATTTTTTTTTCCCAATTTATGTTATATTTTGGGAACAGGCATCTCTTACTATAGCCTTTCTATTATTTGATTCAGAATATGGATAACTCAAATTTCAACTGCGTTCTCTGCCTTTTCTTCTCAAGTATTTCCCTTCTTTTAATTTTATTTGGATAGGAAGTCTAGCAGCAGGACAACTCAAGAAGAAATGGCTCCTCTTGTATCCTTGCGAGAAGCTCAAAAACTTGCAATAACAGGATTGAACTTGATTGCTATGGACGAAGGATTATCTGAAGGAGGCCCAACAGAAAGCCAGAGGGAGTTCTTGCACCTCACACAGTGCAAGATCCGAGGCGCCGTGCATCTCTTGCCCTTGGTAGAACACCATATTGGTGCATACTGTCAAGCTGTACAATTGGCAGACAAGTCAGTAAATGGTTCTTGTGGAAACCATTCAGCTATTTCTTCCAGGACCAACGCAAATATGGTGTCAAGTAAGGAGGACTTCAGGTTTTCTCTTGAAGAAACTACAGTTATATCACTGGGTATTCTTTATTATTTGGCATTTTATAGCTGGGATGTTGTCCACATATTGCTATCTACTGAAGTGGAAAAAAGTTCAGCTGCTGGAGACGAACAGTTTTCCAAGATGGACAATAATGCTTTGTGTGATAATCAGTGTGATAATAAAGAAGATACCAGGACACAAGGATGGCTGCCTGTAGCTCCACAGGATGCTCCCAATAATGATCGAGCTCAACATTCTTTGTTTAAAAAGCTGCTTCAGGTTTTAGCTTTTTCTGCTGCAAAAGGCTCCCAGACTGATAGCATACTGAACCAAAGCCTAAAAGTTTTGGTGAAGTTAGCTGAAAATTCAACAATGGACTTGCTAATAAAGTAAGTCAGTAATAGCTTTAAAGTTATTTCAGACTCTGTTGTTTAGCAATTTCCATTCTCTGTTGACACTAATTTGTGCAGATGACAGTAGAAATTCTGACGTGCATGAGAGAGTATGACGTTTCTCAGCTCACCTTTGAGAAGCCATAACAATCTTTCTACTGCCTTTGCTGCTAATGAATGTGACAATTGCCCCTGATCGGTAACAAGATTTGCTTGTGATGTTTATATGAAGCAGATGCTGTTGCCTCATTGCATAGCTGTCACTTGAAAGTGAGAAAACTTCTTAAGGCCATATGTAGTTGGATCAGAATATTTGTAACATTTATATTGGGGTTTTTGTGGTTGCTGGGAAATGCGTAAGGAATGAAAGCACAGGGTCTCATTCTAGTAGGTAAAATGCCTCTCTCAAAAGTGAGACATTTTGTCTGCTAATGATCTAATGTACACAACCGTAGTATGAATTGCAGACTGATTGCCAAATGTAGCAATATGTTTTTCAGTATACTTCGTATTTATGACACGTAAGTTGAGATCAGGTACATTCTGAAATGACTAAAAAGGCACAGATTACGATGGTGTGTACAAGAAGTAGTGTATTTTCAATTTGTCAGTGTATTTCCCATTTCTAACGTTGAGTTTTCTTTTGAAGTTTTCAGCACTTATTGAGTAGCCAGATACTGCTCCGTTGTCTGTGTCCAGAGACCCCTTTGCCTGCTGTCCTTTTGACCGTGAGACTGTTGTCTGTTCTTGCTCAACACTGCTTGTTGGTTTCTCAACTTTGTTCTCATTCAGGTAACAGACTGCATAACACAGAGAACTGTTAATCAGTTGAATGTTAGTTAGCATGACTAAAAGAAATTAAAACAGGCCCCCCTTCAAGCCTGCTAAGTTACCTGAAAACTCGTTTTCTAGTGCAGTGATTCAGTTGCTGTTGCAAGAGTATTTTGTCTTGGGGTATCTGTCTACATACAGTGCTTTTGATACCCATGTGTATTTTTAAAACTACTTTCCAGATTAATGTTTATTATATTAAAGGTTGATGAGGAAAAAAGGGCTTTTGAGGAGTTCTGAAGTTTAATTTATCTGCGCTCATGATGCTGTTGAGTTTAGGGATTCCAGCACTCAGCATGACAAAGAGGCTTTGTCCAGTTCCTTATGAATGAAGTAGGACAGTATTACCACAAATGCATATGTAAAGTTTAGGGATAGTAGTTTCTTCAGCACTGTTTAAGATGTCTGAAGTAAAGCAAGAAATTGAGCCTGTATCATAAGTCCCAAGATGGCACTCTGCATATTTTCTGAAATGTTTTCTTGTGTGGCAAAAATTAATTTTTGTCATAAACAGTTGACTAGTTGGGTAAAGAACAAAGTTATCTCTATTTCAGACACCTGCCTCCTTCTTGCACTGTACATGTATATAACGTCAAGACCAGATAAATCAGCATCTGAAATGCTTTGGCTTCAGCTGGAGCAAGAGGTAACCACAGCTGTTTGTTCACATGCCTTTTCCTGCTATTTCCAGATGGGGGAGTGGGAGGAGCAAGGCAATGCACAAATTGTCCAAAACCAAGTTTTTCCTCCAGCTGAAATAGCACGCTGAAGGTATTGGCTTGCAGTAAGGGATTACACTGATTTTTAAGAGTAGCTGCTTGAAACTGAAACACTAACAGTTCTTAAAGAGAACATCAGTCATAATAGTCATAGGTTAGTCACTGAACAAGCAAAAAAGATCCTAGGATAGCTATAAATGTTCAACACTAAGCTTTATTTTGCTTTTAGATCAATAGAGGAGTAAAAGGAAGCAAGATCTAACAATCATTTTGATTGTATTAATTACTTCTGAACTATATCTTCTGAGTTAATAGACATAAAAGGCAGTCTGTAGTGACTTAGGGCTATATCCATTGTATTTGCTGGAAATACTAGCTTGCTGTTTAATAGTCATGATTATATATAGAAAGAACAGCTTTTGAATTTAATTTGTATTGTTGTACTGACAGTGGTGACTTGTTCAAGGTTCTACTATTTGCTTGACTTCTGCTCTCCCTTGAAAAAATTTTGAACCATTTTCATTATCCTCCTACCTACATTGTTATATTAAGTGCAAACATATTATTTGTATGCAGTGAATTAAGGCTCACTACACCTCAGTAGCCTTTCTCATCAGAAAGTTGAAAAGGTTTCTGTGCAAGGCAAATTCTATGTCTGTAAAAACATAGGGAAAAAACTTGAACAATTTTGAGGGTTAAAAAAAATTAGCTTAATTCTTTGATAATTCTGCAGACCCCTAGTACTCATTATAATGCGATCTGCATGTTTTTGTAATAGACAGTCAGACTCCTGACAAGGTGTATGCGGTGTTCCAGTCCAGCAGTTTTATTACCTGGTGCAGACTGCCAATGTAATCTTGAGGTACGTCCCTACAGTGGCTGAGTTTAAGCTACTGAGAACTTAAAGGTACTCAATGCTGAAATAGGTTTTTGCCCTTTTTTTAGCTACAACAAAGCAGAAGCATACTGCATTTTAAAAGATGACACCTTCTAGGAAGTTGGCTTTTGCTTGCTGGAAAATATTCTGAAATTTGGAAGTTTGATGAAATTACTCAATGAAGTTCATAATAAAATAAGTTTTCCGCTACTGTAATTTTACTTTGTGTATTGAGGCACTTTTCTTCCTCTTGCAGGTGGTTAAGGCACTAATAATAATGTTACATAGACAGTGGATGAAGATCAGAAGATCTGAGAACAGCTTGTGCACATATAAGGAACAAATTATTCAGTTCTTACGGGATGCTGTTCTACTCTTGCACAGCCTGTCTCAGAAAGATAAACTGTTTCACGAACACTGTTTGGAAGTTCTCCATCAATATGACCAAGCCATGCCGGGCATAAGAGCCATTCTCAAAAAGACTCAAAAATTGAGTGCCTGTGAAGGTAAAATGAGTCAAATGATAATATTGCCTTTTTTCCATGTTGTAGAAATAGAAATCCCACTTCTGTCATTTTCCTCATTTAACCAGTACCACATACCAAATACCATGGATGTTTGTTGCTCAGACCTCTGAAGGCAGTGCACAGTCTAGTGCTTTTAAACCTTTGTTACACTGAATCACTAGTCTACTGTACTACTTTGGCATTTTTTTTTGTTCTGTCCATAGAAATATGCCCCTAGTATCTGATCAAACAAAATCCTATACTCCAGCTCTCTTTAGTAGAACAGTCTTCACTATATGCTACCTTTTAAAAAAAAAAAAAAAAAAAAAAATCATTATTCCAAGTCTCCACCTAGCATTACACCTTCAATCTGCCATTTTTTGTGGTGTCCCATCCCCCCCGCCCCGCGTCCTTAACGTCTCTCTTCTTCTTCTTCCTTCTTTTACCCCCAACCTTCTAACATTACCCCCAAAGCTTCTCTAACCCATATCCATCAGGACTTGTCCCATGCTTTGCATGCTTCTGGTGTCCATTTCCTAGAGTGTGCTACTCTCGTGAAATTGCCTCTCCTCCTCATACCTCGATGCCATTTCCTTGTTCACTCATGGCATTATTTACATGCATGTGGTAGAGTTGATGTGAAGATCGTGCTTTTATGTCTCCATGTGGTTTGCTACAAGATACCAGACAAGGCATCTGGTCTTACTCAGAGCCAGAATAATAAATCCTTCAGTGCTGGCGTATGTATTGCATCAGTAAGGCAGGCCATGCAAGCACACCACTGCTAGTTACAGTAACTTTTCTGGAGATGTTAAATGCTGTGCCATGTTCTAGAACTTTGTCTAACACCTTCTCCAGTTATGCTTGGGAATGGACAAAACAGTGTAACAGCTGGTGGTTTTGGGGATGGAGGTGCATGCATGTGCTTGCAAACCTGTAGTTAGCATTCACATTCTTCCTTTAAAACACAAAATACTATGCTTCTGTCCTAGGGGCTTTTTAAAATTAGTTAACAAAAATGAGTTCTGACTACTTAATAAGTTTAAAACCTACTTGTAAAGGGTGCTTTGTTGTTTTACTGTTTTTCCACTAGCAGCTAAATTTAATTCACTGTTCAAGACTGTTTTCTCCTTTAATGCCTAAAAAGGCATTCAAGTAAAGAGGGGGAGAAGTTTGTATGACCGAGCGCATATCTAAAGACCTATTTGCATTGAAACTTAAAAAAGGATATTTGCTGTAGCCTTCTACAGTCAGAATGTTTTCAAATGGAAACAAGATACCTGCTATAATTATACTACATCAAGCAGGAAAATGACTCTCTGAAACATGATTTTGTTGTTGTTGCAGAGCTGATTTTGGACGAATTGTATCCTCCTGAGCCAGAAGCAGAAGACCAAGGATTGGACTCCAGCTAGCTAACATCTAGTAAAGATCTCTGTCCTTCCTCATCTAAATAATAATAATCATTGCCAGTGTAAATCTGAAATTTAAATAATCTATTTTATGAAGTGATAATCTACAAGTTGTGTTCAAATGCAGGACAACTAAGACATTTCTGTTGTGATTATTTTATTTAAGCACCATCTAAATGTAACTGAAAACAAATTTTGACATAAGAATTATACTGCAATGAATGGTTTTGCTGTGCAAAACCACTCAATGGCTTATGACTGGTTCTGTTTATGAATTTCATCCTTTATGCTGTGACTGGAATGGACATTTCACTATTGTGTTCTCTGTTTTACTGTGACTACAGCTGAATTTATGATGCTGAATGTGGTGAAGTGTTGGGGATCACTGAATTCATATGAAAGTCTTTTGAACATTTGTTTCTCTTGCCACTGTTAACACTTTCTTGCTTAACTTCCAACATTTTCATGTTGATACTAGTAAACAGTTATTGTGATTTTAAAAGCCGTTCTAGAAATAACTTATAGTTGGCAGTTCAACTCTGAGCAAGAAATTCAAAGCCCCGTAATGATCACTTGAGTGCACTCATTTTTCTCAGTTTCATGAATCTGCTGACTCTGTAACTATTGAGGTGCCAAACCAAAAAATACTAGAACTTTTTTTTTTTTTAAGTTATCTTAGAAGAGTAAGAAGGTAATGTTAAAGAGAGCATTCTGTCATACTATGTAAGAGAAGGATACTTAAATATGTGCAGAATGACTGAGCTTTTTGGTTGTAGTATCTGGATAGGCACTGCAGTGAAGATGGATGAGCATCTCATTCCTAGGATACAGCACTGGAGGAAGAATTGTTGCTATACCCTCTCAAGTGTGTATGATTATCAGCTGTCATGCTCAGCTGTAGGTATCAGCTCAACCTTGGACCCTAAAAAGTGTGAATGCTGCTAAAATGAGCCTACAGGTTTGTGTTTTAAAATAATTTGGAAAGGTTTTTTTTTCATTTCTTGACAGATACTCGATTCAGAACAAGCCTGGCTCCAGGGACTAGGAGGAGAAACAGCACTACAGTGGGAAGGAAGTCCTTGGAAAATTGAGAAGCATCCAGTTCTCTGGTCATAACCCAAAGAGGCTATGTCCTGCCCTGGTGTGCCTGGGCAAAGAGCCCCACTCCAGTGTGCTGAACAAGCTCTTGACTTGGCTTTCACTTTTGAAGAGAACTTTCCCAGAAACCACTGTGCAGGAATAACCAGTGTAATAATCCAGCATCTCCCTAGGGCCAAAGCTCTTAGGTACTCCTTCCCACAACATGGCCTAGGGCTAAGCCTCCTCCTCTTTGAGCCACAGCTGGCAGAGCTCCACCAGTTCATGGAAAATGCAACCTGCCAACTGCTCCTCTCAGTAATAGGTTTCAAATCCCTTGTAGCAGCTGGGAAACTGCCATTTTTCTGCTTAAAGGCAGCAAGGAAGGACACACAGGGACATACCAGCAAAGCCTTGAGAGCTTGTGTTCTTGCATGGTAAACACCCTAGAACTGCTACCAGGGCACTGGACAAGACGTACTACAGAAATTTCAGCATGACAAAACCATTTGACTTGTCCACTTAAAAAAAACCAACCAAACAAACAAAAAAACCCCAACAAACCAGCAAACCAACACAGCACTTCCTGGCCTTCAGCATTAGAGAGAGAGAAGAGCTTGGTAATGTCTATTAAAAGCCCCTTCCTCACTCAAAACCAAAACCACCATCCATTAAGATAATTCTTTAAAAACATGAGCAGCATCTGGTAGGTAGTGTCCTGCAAGTGGCAAACTTAAAGAGCTGTCCTAACAAAGATGAGATAGATAGTCACAATATTCCAGAATACAATGACCTGCCATCACTTTTCAACTGCTCTATGCTATTCTCACCACCTCATTTCTCTAAACATAATTGATTTATAGAGAGAAGATGCCTTAAAACCCTTCTTTGGGTGAATAAACCAGATGAACTGTTAAGAGGAGTTTGGATGAAAACCAGTTAAGGAATCCCAAATTGTTGAAGCAATCTAGTCATAAAAACTTGTTTAAAAAATTCCTGGCCTCATCTAGAGAGCATGTGTGCGATGACTTGGTAAAAGGGAGACGTGTATTACTGCTAAACTTTATATAAACAGAAGTGTTATCTGTGGGGAAAAAAATGCTAGGAAAATAGCCCTAACTGTTCCCTTCTGGCACTGCATCCCCTCCCATCCACCCACTCTTAACAGACAACACCCTAACATCTACGCTCTGATTGTTTTCTTCCCGCTTTTGACTTTAAAGTGGTACAGCCCAGGCTATATACAAACCAACCAACCCACCCCAAACCCTACACCTCCACTGGCAGAAATGACCGTAACATGGAGGTATGAAATTAAACCATGCCTTTTAAAATTGAAGGCATTTTCTGTAACTGAAAAGTTTATGTTCCTAAGGAAAAAGGAGGCTGCACTCCTAAAGATAAAAGGCAGACATAGGTAACAGAACTGCCCTAATTCATTATCTCTTAAGTCATTTACAGTGACCAATCTTTTGTCAGTATTGCTGCAAAATTGTACTGACCTTCAGTAATTCTTCCCTTTTTACATTCTCTGGATCTCTTTAATCCCAAGAAAAAAATCCCATCATGTACGCAACAGCTGATAATCCCCTGAAAAAAACCTGAAGCATTTTTACAGATTATGGGGCTACTGGTTTACTATCTTCATGACCTAAAAATAACAGACTGTTCTCATCAGACACTCCCTGAAGAATTCACAGCATAGCAGTTCTTTTTTCAAGGCCAGTTCACATTTTCCCAACATGTTATAGATAAGATGTGCCTCTGTATTAACTGAGAAAAGGAATTTACTCTGGCATCAAGCACAGTCACAGGACTGAATAATGAAGTATTGAGCAACAACAAAAACCACTAGTGACGTTCTATACATGATGATCACATTCCTCAGTCAGCAGCAGCCACCCATCTGTTTTCTTGCCCATAGGGATGGCAACTGGAGTTTCCCCTTTGCTGAAAGCTGAGCTGAGTAAAGCTGTGTTTTTCCTCTTCAATGAACTGCACTGAGCAGACAGGACTAAAGCTAGGCAGGAGCTGGATGAAGAAAGCAATCACCTCTACTAGCTTACCCATCACTCAGGCAACTTTATGCAAAAAGGAGGATGATAGCCTTGCTGACTTGTATTTTAAGATCTACTGACACTACCCCTCAAACAGCTGTGGCACAGGAGGAGGTATCACTGCATTGCTAAGCATCTTCCTGTGGCGATTCAAGGACCTGAGGTACTGCATGGATTCAAACACACAGCAGTTTACTTTTTCTAGAGAGAAAATAAATGATGCTTCATTGACTAAAATATTTAGGGAAATTGCACAGGTAACACCTTATTTTCTGTAACTCATAGAATCATTGACTAGTTGAGATTGGAAGGTAGGTCAGCTCATCCAGCCCCCAATCAAAGCAGACTTCCAGACAAGACAAGTAACTGTTGTGTCAGGCCTCAAACGCATTTCTATAAACCAAGCTGTATAGGTGAAGATGGCAAATACAAAATACCTCATCATGCAGTGCACAACATCTGACCCAAGTTGCTTTCATTCATATTAATCCCGCTAGTGTGAACTACTGCTTGAGAAAGTTTAGCCTGTGTTAGACTATTAGAACAGTAAGTTATTTTAACCATTGAATGTTTTTTGTATTAGTCACAGTCAGTAATATTAATTATGGTTATATTAATTGGGGTCAAATGCAGCAGTTCTGATCTGCCTGAGTAAAGACTGTGTATTACATGCTGTGAATGCAATAGCAAATACAAACTTACATTTACAGTGTAAATTGTTAAAAGTAAAAACTATACCTCATTGATTAGAATTTAGCAGACTGATAAAGGAAAAGGTGGTCTGTGAGCTTTATAAAGACCTACAAACCCACTGTGGCTGAATTTTATCAAAACACTTCCACAAGTGAGGGCCAACACGTTCAGTATGAACTGCAGTCTCTGAACAGAGATAAGCACCGAACAGTGATTTTTTTTTTTTCCTCTACGCATTAGTCATACTGTAGGTTGGTATTTTAAGAATCTAGCTGAACAATTTGTTTTGCTAAAGACCTTTACAGCACAGCTGCGCTGCGGCACCTGCCCAGCAGCATGTAAAGCAGATCCTACCTGATTCCAGGGCCAAGTTAACATCAAGAGTAAAAAAAATAGGCCCCAAAACACTGGCTAAAGCAAACCTCACAAGTTATCATACAAGTTTCTATACTTTAGGGAGAGGGGGCGGGGAGGGGAATAAAGGGAGAGAATTGCTGCTTTGGCAATAATTGCTAAAGTTTTTCCCTCCTTTGTGTCCAGCTCCTCCATGCAACCCTGCCATGGGTTTTAAGATGCATGCCAAGTTTTGGTCTGGAAAAATTCACACTACCATAAACAACTGCTGATTAAACGTTAGGAAAACATAACCAGCAGTATTCCTCACCTAACCCCAGGCTCTCAGCGTTTTAGTTCAGCGGTTTGCTCTCCTATACAACATTTTGCTGCAATTTTAGAGGGTGAAGGTACCTTTGAAACCCTATGTGCTTGCTAAAGGAAATCTGAAGGTTTTAAACAAAACACAGGCTCCTGTTCCCCAGACCTGTGTGCAGAGAGAAGGGAAGGCACACAGCTTTTCTCTGCATAGGAGGCTTCTCTGCATGCTGCTTCTCATATTCAGCCAGATTGCACAGATGCACCTGCTAAAAAGTCATGGGAAAAGAAAAATAGATGAATGAAAAAATTAATGGCAATAAAAACATCAGAAATAACTCTGCAATTTCCTGGTGTAATTTCTAGCCCAAACATTAATTATATTTGTTTTCTAGATTTAGGTTTTTAGGAGCATACATTTTTCCTGCTGTCCCCAGTTAACTAATAGAAATTCTGTTGAGAAAATGTGAAATAAAATTGGAAGTGAAATGATCTACATTTCATCTGCAAACACATTATCAGCCTGCAGCTGAAACTCCACTAAATTCAAGAGGTAACATTACAAAACTACCTGATTATTCCATAATAAACAACTCACTCAGAAGAAGTTGGGGGGGACATGTTGGGTTTTTTATATGGTCCCATCCCCGTCCCCCTCCCCCCGCCCTTTTCTTTTAAATCCTACATTGGAAACATAGCTGGCAATTCAAGGTCATAATGATTATATACTCAAACAATTCAATACTACTTGGTGTCTTATAAAAGGCATTCTTGACCTGCTCAAAAAAATATTTTCAAGTGGAAGACTAATGAGTCAGGGGCTTGAATACAACCTTTCAAAAGCTTTTTTTTTTTTCAAAACTAATGAAAGTACACAAAAACATCAGCAAAAATGTTTTCACACAGAGTAGAAAGCATCACTTACCACACATTGGTCAAGTTGATAAATGTGGCATGATATGCAACACACAAGTCAAAATACATGTTGAGAAGATATTAGATTTGATTAAAGTTACAGATGACTTTGAAGTCTACCATCTTGTCTACACTGGACTTTTCAAATGTCTTGGAATTTGTTAGCTAATGCATTCAAACTTCATGTATTTAATTTACTCCTTAGGCTAGACAAGGCCTTAGAAGCAATCCTTTTGGATTAGCTTTGAAGCATACTGTCAGAACATCATTCAGAAGCTTATATGGTCCTTGCTTTATGTTGTGACCTGTAATTTTGATTAGGTTTCAGTCTCCACTACCAAAAGTGATATTCATGACACGAGGTGACTTCAGGTACCCTTGGTAACACTAGCTGTCAAACACAATGAAGTAAAATGTAGCTTTGCAGATAACACACTCCTAAGTAATACTCAAATTGAGGCTAAAAGAATATACTTCAAACACTGCATTTATTACAAAGGTGCATAGAGTTTATGCCATTTCTTTTGAATACTTACATTTAAACTACAAACATACAAAGCTAGGTTACAGTATGTAATAAAATCAACAGTGATTATCTAGCAAATCCAGTACAACAGAGTATTCTACTGTATTTAATTTCACAAAACTTTTCTGAAACAAAGGCACTTACAGAATTAAAAAAAAAAACCACACAAAAAAAACCCCAAACGAAAAAAACCCAACCCATATTCTCTTTCAACATTTAAAATTTTAATTCCATTCCCCCTCCCCTACGGCACTGTGGATAACTAGTTTGACGTGAAGGCAATAGCTACTTGGACTGACACATCAGCAGTACTTAAAGTTTATGCATCAACCTCTCCATCTTTTCTAAAGATCTAAACCATCCCATTCTCTTAACCATATGAAAACAAGTTTCAATGGGTTGCATGGTAACAACTACGTAAAATTTGGTCCCTCACCTCATTGTTGATGACGATTAATGCACTAACAATACGAAAAGATTCAATAAAGTGCTTCAGTTACAAAATAAGTGGACCATTTTCTTTCAGAGAGTTTTGTAACTGAAGTAGTAATACTACTACTAAAGTAGTTCCTTGTATATTAATGATTCATCTCTTACTCGTATATAGGTATCATTAGCATGTGTTCACTGAAGGAAAGGTGTAAATTTTCAGGCTTCTTAACCCTATCCCTCACCTCCTCCCACCACTCCACATACAGTGGTTTTCAAGGCAATTTATTTGGTCTGTACAACATCTACACCAAAACTTCAGATTTGAGGATCTCTGTTATTGTTGCCACTTTACTTTTCTCCTGTCTTTTCCTTAGGCATGATGGCAGATGACTGGGCCAACTTCTCATGAAATTGCACATTTTCCTTTCATAACCAAAACATAACACTACTAACACTGCCACAAACTAT